GGGGCAGAGACAATTTTTGACAGCTCTATGGAATTAATTCTTCTTTATGACAGTGTGTTTTACTGCTTGCTGTATGTAATAGTTTCTTTCATTGCCACTTATGTCCTTTGCAGTGAATGAAATTCGCCGCTGTATGACAGCACACTTTGAGTGTCAGTGGCTTTCATTTTGTCTATTAAGGAAGATAATTGTAAGGAGCAGATCAGACCTGAAGGAAGGCTTCTGAACTGAACCCATTTCAAAGAGGGAAAACAGAGCTGTCAAAACTTTGACTTTCTAATTCCTAAAGAGCCGTTAATTCAGTCGGCTGCATGATCTACTGGGAGTAGAAATGAAACTCCACTTGCATGACCTCTGGTGTCAATCATTGTGGGAGGAATCTGCATTTATATTGTCAACGCACAAACTTTCTTTACTTCCTGAAGCATGAAATCACCTTTCAGATGGAGTAAGAAATATAATCGCCCATTCTTGAGAGGTGTAACAGTTTGGCCCAAGGCTTCAGTTACACAGAGAGAGTTTGAACACTCTATCTTGACTTCAGCATCAATCAGTCTCTTGGAAGCTGCATGCTTTGCGAGCCAGAGTTTCACCACTTATCTATCCCTAGGAACATGCTTAAGGTATGTGGATATAATTAGAGGTTGAAGCCTTGAAGAAAATTTATTCACCATTTTTCAAACCAGAAACTACAGCCCAAAGTTAGGTTTGCAAGGAGGTTCTAGTTTTGGGGGGCATGATGTACCTGTTGTCTGACAGAGTATGGATTTTGTTGAGCATAATCCTTTATATGCAGAGGTAGCATGAAAGAAAAAGTGAGCCCAAAAGAATCTGAGCTGCAGGATATGTTTTTATTGTTTTTCTATGAATGTTGTGCCTTTCTCTGCCAGTTGTTTAAATGGGTTTTCACCATGTTGCACTACGGTTATGCTGTTCAAGCTTTATGCCAGGTGTAAGATGTCGTGCATCTCACACGACATGTTTGTTAGGTCTTGCTGTATTTAGCACAGTTTCTGTTGTCTTCTTGACGTACTGGAGATGCTGGCATGCTACTCAGCCATCCTCAAATACCTCTGTACTTTTCTTAGAGTAATATATGTCAAGTTTAGTATGATGACATGTTTTACGTCTGTTGTTCCAAGAAAGATAGTTTTGGTCATATGCTGATCAGCACATTGAATAACCTGCTTAAAATGTCACCTAAAGCAGTGCAGGTTATCATCAGTACTGACCATGAATTTAGCCCAGGTGCTCTGAACTTGTATCTGATATGTTCCACAGACAAAATTAGCAGCCCATCAAAGCAGCAGTTTCCCATGAGCCAGGGTGAGGGAAAGCAGCCAAGCGAGCTCACGCTGCAGTCGTAACTCACCTTTCATTGAGGGATGAGTCTGGCATCTGTGATTTTAAGATGCAGGAATCCTTCAGTCAGACCCCAGGTGTGCAAGCTGGTGACCTGCTGATCTTTTCTGTACTTCAGTGTCACCTGTTCCTTTCCCCCCCCCCCCCCGCCCAAAAAAAAAAAAAAAAAACCCATCTGTTCATCCTGGCCAGCCAGAAAGCAAAGGAACAAGAAGTGACTTGGCTTAGTAAGTAGGGCACCTTTCATTGTGTGAAAAAAATTGCTTTTTTTTTTTTTTTTTTTTTTTAAGACAGTCTGATTTGGGAATGTGGGCATGCTATAGAGAGCCCTTACATGCAGAAACTTCTGCAAAGAGCCCTTCTTATAGCACTTACTGCTGACTGCAAGAAGGGTACCTGCAAGAAGGGTTATTCGTGCTGTGCCTTGTTCCAGTGGAGATGCCCAGTGTGTCAAAAAGGAGGAAGAAAAGAGCACTTCCTGGCTTAGAAATACCTGTAAATACGTAAGGATAGATTAATATGACTGTAACATACAATTATATGCCTCTTCTCTGCATGCATTGAGAAATATAGGGCTGGCCCCTGGAGCTTTCTCCAGTGAGGCATCTGAGTTTGTTTGGGAAGGGAGAGTATAGCAGAAGAAATATTTAAAGGAGCAAGAATGAGACTTCTTTCAGCTTTTGAACATCTTTCCCAAGAATTTATAGATGAATTGACTAAAACTCAGTGATAAAAGAGTAACTGTCTGGGTGTGCCTCGGGGCTGCCCTCGGAACGAGATGTGCCGTCTGTATGGAGCGTACCTGCTGTGTGCATCTCCTGTGTGACTGGAGGGCAGGCTGCGGAGCTTGGGATGCTTTCTGCCTTTGGTTTTGTGTCTGGAAGGGTTGACTCCAGCACAGCATGCTGCCTGCGCTGCTGCTGGGCTCGTCAGAACAGGCTCTCTGGCCACTGGTGCTGGGATCTGATCGGAACGTGATGTGACTGCATGTGTGAGCACAGGGCTGCTGGCTGCCGCTGAGATCTGCCAGCAGGGAGGTGGAAATCTCTGCAAGCTAAAGCATAGCTTTGAGCTATCCCAGATATATTTCCACCACAGCAATCTGCACTACAATGCTGTCACTGCTGTGCCTGGGGGTGGAACGAAGGTCTCTGGGCACACAGCATTCACCTCACTGGAGTTTGTTCCTTGTAATGCTGGAGCACAGCCTGGGAAAGCAGCGCAGCTCTGTGATGCATTCTGGTGTCATTGCTGTACTGACGGTTAGTGCTGCACAGGTGACAAGTGTGTGTGTGTGTGTGTGTGTGTGTGTGTGTGTGTGTGTGTGTGCTCTAAGTTCAACACAAAGCAGGGAGTGTGCAGGATTACGCGGTTCCTGAGAGTATATTCCTGACCAGAAGCCAGACAGACAACTTCAGCACCATCAGTGAAAGCAGAAGGTTAAAAAATAAAAAGGCTACATTTTTTTTCTTCCTTTCTAAATGAGAATGTAAAATATTGTGAAAGAATTTGATTTTTTTTAACGCTCTGGGGCCTTTCTCTGCTGATATCATTTATGTAGAACCAACAAGCTCCGTTGCTTCTGCTGTTGTGTTGTATAGAATTCATTGGGACCGTAAATCTTAAAAAAACACAAATATGGTTCAGGAACATGCACTGGTGCTCACTGTCAGACTTTTCATCTGATTTTCTGTGTTTGCTAGTTTTCATGATGCCAGGTATGGGGTCCTTTATCAGTAAGAAAACAAGAATTTGGCAAGGACCAAAGGAGCACTTGTTGGTACTCATTGATCCAGCCTTGTTCTACATATTGAGTGTGAATGAGGGAAATCAAAGGCCCTGTAGTCATTCTCCTGTAGACACAAAACCTTAAAGATGTTTTTATGAAGATCACAAATCTGAATGTTAAAATCCATGAAGAGGAGGAGGATCACACACGGAATTGTGTGGTTGGATGCTTGGTTGTAGCTTTTTGAATTAGCAGCCGATATTGCATGTTCATAATAAAGTCTCACTGACAAAGCTAGAAACATTTCTTAAGCTCCAGATGGCTGCTGTTCTTTATGACTCGCTTTAGTGTGCAGACTTTGGTTTCATATATTTTGATAATCCATCCTGATTATTGAACTAATACTCATAGTTCTCCATGTACACCAACAGCACGCTTTGAGAAGCTGCAGCATATGCCTTGGTAGGGGAAATTTCGAAGCTAAGAAAATCTCTGTAGATGATGTCTCTCATTTCTTAGGTTCCCTTAAGGCTGAGACCCGTGACTCTGGTAATGTCTCTTTAAACATAGTGACAAGATTCTCATTCTATGCATGGTCTTTCAGTGGATGAGGAATAGTCTTGAAACATTTTCCAAAGTCTCTTCTAAAGACCACCCTTTATATTGGATCAAGTTCTAAACTGAACCAACAACAAAAGTAAAAACGCATGGAAGAGTTTATTGGATGGAAAATACAAAGGGCAAAGATGCATAAGTGTTTTGTGTAGGTGACAGAGAAGATGGGAGCTGAGAATCCCAAGCCCTGGAGCTGCTGAGCAGTTGCCACAGCAGGGGTTGCACTGGCAGATTCTCTACAGTGTGATTGCAACACCTTAAGAATCAGAATATCGCATAAAACAAGTATCCATGCAGAAGGAGGAAATAAGGAGCGGTGTAGGACAGAGTACTTTTTGTAGGACCCTGCAGTAGCACAAACATGAGAAAGCTGAGTCCAAATACACACGCTATTACAGAAGTTTTCTTTTCCATACTGACCTTGCTGGTATTATTCTGCATTTACATTCCTGTGGGCAAAAGACGAAACTGCGTGTGAGTCGTGGACAGGGTAATCTGAGTGTGGGCTCATCCCACGGGGCTTATTTAGAGACAAATGTGTTGTTCCAACCTCAGGAAAGCACTTAGAAAAAAGTGTAAAGAGTTTGTGTTTGATTGATCTGTGTGTGCAGCTTAGTGCTGACGTTTTCCACTTAGTATTCACTTCACAAATAAGAGATGTAAAATGTTTAGATTAAACAAAGCCAAAATTAAGAAAATTTATTGATTCTCTCCTTTCCTTCCATCCTTCTTACTAAAAGTTTTTGGCTCTCTTACTTTCGTGACTGTGGTCTATATTGGCATTTACGCTAATGAAGAGCCCACGGTGTTTCCCTAAATGTTCTGCTACAAGTACCTTGTTAATAGCTTCCATTTATCCAGCAAAAGAAAAACTGCAATCTCCAACATGTTGTGCAATAAACCAAGGACACAGAAGGGGCATGAAAGTGCAGTCTCTCCCTATCTGTGCCATCCTTTATTCCAGCACGGTCAAATGCTTTGTACAGGAAGATGAAACCTGAACTGCAGGTCAAAAGAAGCTTGCCCAAGGATCTGTGCTTGTTCCTCTCCAGAGATGGAAATAGACAGAAATGAAATCTGAGTGAGGCCCTGTGGCTTGTAGCACAGTGGTTAGCAGTAAGTTTGTCTAGGAAATTATTATCATGTTCTAACAGAAAGTAATGATTCTGCTTGCTGCTTGTACTTCACGCTGGGTGAGAGAAAAGCTTATTAGCAGAAATAAGCATTCTGTTTTTTAACCTTCTTTTCTATGGTATGTGGTGAAAATGCTAAAACGTGAACTTTATTTCATCAGGTTTATTCCATGAACAGAAAAGAAGACAGCACTCCTGATCCTCCTCTTCATCACATACCAGCAAGATTTCAGGGTGGCAATCTTTGAAGAGATTCTGAAACATCAAATCAGGAAACGATGGGAATAAGCTGATTTCTTCCTGAGATAACACTGAGAACATCGTTGCATGTCTGATGGAGAACAGAAAACGAGTGAGAAAGGTAAGACAGCTTCTTTAGAATTAGTTCTTTTGCATTTCTGAAACACGAAAAGCAAAATTAAGTCTTACAGGGAAAACATAATTAAGTTTCACTTGGATAAATTCCATGGCTATAAAGAGCTAATAGAACAAGCACTGTAAGCAAGTGAAATACACTCAGCTTACAGAACTATTTGGCTATCATCTGTACACATAATCACACTGATTCACGTGAAGGTGATATTTACTTACAATAAAGGTGGGGCACTGATGTTACAGTTGCTTTCTTAACATGCCACTGGTGTCCCTTCAAAAACACGTAAGCCACAAAAGTTGTGGCTAATTGTGAAGGTTTTCTTCTAGGTGATCTTGGGCAGGTCCAGCAAAGCGATAGCAGCAGTGCCAGGAGTGCAGTCCATGTATGGGTAACCTCCCAGCCTGTGCTCTAATAGCTGTTCCACTGAAGAGTAAAGATTCTTTCCAGAATTAGTCACGAGGACTAATTAATTTATCTTCTTCTAGCAATTAGTTTTTCTTGCCGTATTATAATGGATTCTGTGTTCATCATCTGATCAGCAATTTTGAAATGGTCATTTAACGCCTGCAAACCATAAAGATTAAAAAAATACAAATGCTGAGATCCTCTGATTAAAAATCCATCGGATAGGAAATGAGTTTTATCTCAGTGAAATTGCATAGTGGAGAAGAAGTCGTAAAGATATATAAATACAGAGTGGTCAGTGCCAAAATTTAGAACATCTTTAGGGGACATTAATATTATTTGCATGAATTTGTCACTAATTAGTCTATCTGTATTTCCCTGCAGCATGCAGTCTTCTAAAACAGTCCAAATTCTCTAAGGTGATGGTTTATTTCTGCCAGAGGCAAAAACCAAGTGATGCACAGTGCAGTTGCTCACCTGCCATTGCCCCGCGTGCAGCTGGACCCCAAGCAGTGGCTGCCCCCAGCCAGCTCATTGCTGAGCATTTGTGAGACATCCCTGAGGTCAGCTGTCCTGCTTTGTCACCTCTCAGCTGCTTTTCCCCCCATCTCCTCATGTTGGGCAGCACAAGAAGCTGTGAAGCCCTTAACTTAGCATAAACCCTGCTCTACAACAACTAGAACATAGCGTGCTATCAACAGGATCTTCATCTTAAATCCAAAACACAGAGACCGTACAAGCCACTATGAAGAACATTCACTCTATCCCAGCCAAAACTAGGATATTTTTATGTGCTGACTTTGGAGTTGCTCTTCCTGCTCATTTGATGCTCCAGTTACGGTGTTTGTTAGCAGCTGCAAAACCCAGCCTTAGGATGGGGCTTAGTTTTGCTAATAAATGCCCTCACAATCTCAGAGTTTTCCTTTAGAGAGCTGGTGGAGAGCAGTTTTTAGCAATTGAGTTAGCTTTCCTGTAATCATGCTGCTTTTCAGCAAGCCTTGAACCACATCTCTCTGAAAGTGATAGATGATTTATTCTTGCTGCAGGAGGCTGCTGAAGTTGCTCATTAACAGTTATTGATGCCATAACACTTCTTGCTATAACGGACTTTCTTTTGATTATTAGAACTTCTTTTAGCTTCAGTTCTCAAGAGCTTACTCATAGCAGCTTAATCAATATTTTGGTGTTTCTAAATGGGATTTTTTTAAAATAATTTGTCCCATTTTTCTTTATTTACTAAAATGTCTATTGCAATCAAAGGAACTGTTTCCTCCTTATTTTTTTTCCCTTCCAGAAAAGGTTCTTTCAGAAGTTTCAGCAACTCTTTGCAATGACCAGGAATATGAATTTCTGTGTATTCTGTGTTTCTTGGATACTATTTGAAATGTTCCAAGTGCTCAAGTTATTGCAGGTGATGTCATCCAACGGACTGTGTGCAAATGACCAGCAGGCACTGATCCCTGCACTGATCTGGCTTTTGATTAAAAAAAGATGTGACAAGGTTTCCATTCATTTAAATGGGGATATGATTAGACCATTAGCCGATCTTTTATTTCTTTTAAGTAATGAAATATTATACAGATAGTTCAGAGGAGCTGTTAGTACTACCAGTCCTTCCAGTTGTTAGCTTTTCCTTGTTATAAGCTGATCTGTAATGAAATATTTTCAACTCTCTCGTGGTAGAGCTGTGTTCTGTATAACTCTTAAAAATTTTATAGCAAGACGTTCCTCTTGGGTTTAAGCCAGTGCAAAAACCAATGATGAGTTCTCAAGCATGGCATTCTTTCCCCGTGATTTCTGCATTTTGCGCTGCATTTTCTGTTGTAGGCTGTACACAGTGTATCTGGTGGATTCTTTCCTACTTCCAGAGCAGGGATAAGAGGGTGGTTTTTGATTTTCTCATTCTTAATGAATGGAAAAATAGCACTGCTTTGACTCTTTACTTTACAGTCATAAAACTGCCCAAAGTTTACTTGACAAAAAAGGAGTGAAGAGCTGCTGACCTGCTGGAAAGGAGTGTTTCCCTCTGGATTCACCTCCCAACCGCTTCCAGCAAAATCAGTCTTTCCCATTTAAATTTGTCAGCACAGATTAAAATCAGACATCAAATTTTGTACCAGTAAAAAAGAAATCTGATTAAATATAAGGGCTGCTCTGAAAGTAATGCCTCCTGTTTTGTTAAGTTGGCCCACAGCATCAGAGGCAGCTGTTGGAGGGACGGCAGCAGAGGCTGAACCTTCTCACCAGGATCCCATTGCATTTTGTGGCCATGTGAGAGATGGCAGCAGAGGGGCACAGTGGCAGAATGGCATCTGGGAACAATACTTTTTTCTGCTGAAACACTGAAAGGTTCTGTGAGGGACCCAGTAAGAGATTTCAGGCCTAAGATCCTCTGGGATGACAATTCCCACTGTCTTGCTTTCTGCTGAATAATTTTTATTTCTCCTGAAAGAAAGTTCATCTTGCTTTTGAAGAAGATGGTCTAACTGGAATTAGTTCGTTACAAGAGCAGAAGGAAAGTTGCTTTTGTTTTTTAAAGTCTTCAAGGATTCAGTCTAATCCTTAAATCTCCAGAGTTGGTGATAGGATGTTTGTCCAAGACTGCAGTGCTGCCTGCCTGTGAGCTTCCAGAGATTCGTTCAAGCAGGGTTTGAAGCAGGTGAATATTCTTTTCAAGCTTCACGTTATCTAAACATACACCTTCCTTGGGGGTCAGTGGTAGTTTGTTCATGTTGGGTTTGGGTTTTGGCATTCCAGGGACCTGTGTGTCTGTCTGAACTGTGAAAATTACCACCTTAAATAACAGCAGGACAAGGCACGTCAGATACAACTTTTTAGACAGGGCTGACTGCTGATTTTGTAAAGACTCTTCATATTTCCTGCCAATTGGCAAACCTGCTGATGCTGAGCTGCTCTGCTGATGGTTTTATTTACTGGGGACTGAATCTGGTTTGTGTGTCAAGCTTGTGACATACATCTCTGAAGTTTCTGGTGTGAATGACTTGCTGGGTGACAAGTAGGTCTGGTGCAGAGAGAAGATTAGAACAGAGCTGCTCTGCCTTGTGGCCCAGACTTTTAACTACTTGAGAAAGAAACAATCTTCCCTGTTCTGTAAAGCTCTTATAAAAAGTCTTGGTATATTTTTATTTGTTGTTGTTGTTCTTTCCCTATAGCTGTCAAAATGGTACTTAGCAGGTTTATCCAAAAAACTGAGAGCTGGGGGTATAGTCACTGAGCTGATCCTATTTTAATCATTGACCTTAAGTGGAAAGAACCAAAAAATCAAACAAATATTTTCTTTTTTTTTGCTGATCTTTGAAAGGCTGCCAAAGCTAGCAAAGGTGAATCCATTTGGGACAAAGGAGATGCTTTTGTTTTCCTGATTCTTTCAGCTTTGTTGTATTTTTTATGGCACTCAGCTACTGTAATTGGAATACAAAACAACTTTGCATCAAATCCCTCTGAAACCAAGATATGCTTCATATAAGTACAATGCCACCCAGAAAATGCTTGTGTACCTTACATGTGTATAATTTATACCTACTTGGTAAGTATTCTAAATTCCTGCAGCTTTTTTTTTTTTTGTTAAAGGACAAAGATGGAGAGAGAATTTTCCTGCACCTCTTTGGCTTGAACAGAAGAGCTCAGCCTGAATCGAAGTACTAATTCAAATGCAGCAATTTTGAAAAGAAAAATTAAATATGAATGTTAATTTTTTTGTATCATACAGACTGCTGACACGAAACCCCCTGCAGGTGTTACTTTTATCCTTGTTGCTCAATGCTCTGAGGGAAATACACCTGTTACAGTTCAGTGAGCTCACATACATGCGCAGCCTGTCCAGTATTCATGGATCCTTCAGGTTCAGTACACTGGGAATAAACCTTAGAGCATAGGCATTTTTCTTAAAAGGTCATTAAAGCTTTCCAGAGGCCCAAACTGTTTAGTAATGTTCATGTAGTGAATTAAGTGGTGTCACACTTGTGATTAATGTCAATTAAACAGCTTGGGCTGATTTTGTATGATCTAAAGCAGTTTTGTTCCATATTGCCTGCTGTGGGACATGGCTGCAACTTTGGCACTGGCTGTGGGCTCCCATAGAGCTAAGACGATAGATTCTGCATGTCAATTGCAAAGCCTGGGAGGTGAATTGTTCAGTATTGGTGAGGATTCTTTGTGTACTACTCAACATGGTCCAGAGTATTTCATTCACTGCCTTGCAACTAACATGAAAACAAGAGAACAAAAACGGGGTGGGCCAACTTTGTTTCCTTATGAACATAACTCTGGTTATGTCCATAAGTTATGCCTACTGCTTCAGCAATAGAATCTTTTGCTTTCTTGGGAGTGTAAACATTTGCAGGATTAAATAAATAACAACAATTTTAATAACAATGATATAGGGACTCCTCCATAAGGTCAGTCAGGCCTTTTCTTCTGTGAAACCGCTCAGTTCTGTGTAACAGGACAAGATGAGCACAGTTTTGAAATCATTCACATTCACTCTGAAATGTAAGGACATTGGCTGGTGTTTGATTGATGCAGGTAATGGTTTTTGCTCACCAAGGACAGAACTTACA